CAGCCTCTGGACCCTCCTGGTTCCCCCTTCTGCCGCTCTGCTCAAATCTCCAGAACAGTAATCCAGTTGTGACCAGCCCTGGACATGATTACCCCCCTGATCTGTTTTCTGTACCAGTTATTAATTAAACCTTTGAACTTTTTCCCCAGTCTCTCTGTGTGTGTTCTGCATGTGGGCTAGGAACCAAAACCCAAACATGACAGTTTATAAGGAGGTTTCTTCTTTTTGTTTTGTTTGATCAGGGGTCTTGACCTTTCAGGTTTTATTAGAGTACACCATGGAGGCATACTATATTCTGCTTAGGGTAGCTTACTATATGGAATAATCTGTGCAGAGGTGCAAAATTTAGTATAGAAGGGACCATTGTATATTTATGAGATCAAGTTTAACAAGGGTAACAAGTCAACTGACCTGCAGACATTTATAACAGAGGCTGACATATTAACAATAAACTTTTATAACCATTTAAAATGAGCTCATTTAATGGTTATCTATAAAAACTGCGATAAAACACAGAAAGTAGACCAATAAAGCCCAAGGTTCATGGAGCCATTATGTAAAAAAAATGATGGAGCATGGGGGACTTTCATTATTACCATTATTTGCATTGCAGGGTTTTTACTGGTTGGGCAATTTAAGCACTACCAAAGCTACAACACAGGCTTTATAAGCAGCCCTGTTGTTTAGCTGAGGAACAATCAGAGAGGTTATATGGGGAGAAAGAAATGAAAAATAATGTCAAGAATTTAACTTTCCAGGATGCATAGAATGAAAGTTATAAATCAAACAATACAGCAGCAGGTGTGAATACAAATGTTTTTTATTTTGTCAGAGACCAGAGACCTGCACAAGATGAACATACCAAACAAACTGTTCTCATTGTGAGAAGTCACTTCAGAATCAGCTGAAAATAAGTAGAAACCAGGCGCTTAGTCAATGAAAAGACAACCTGGAGATAGAAAGACAGAGAGCCTGACTAGAAGTAAAGAATGCTCAGAGCGAAACTGAACCTCCTTGAATAATTAATCCGGACTGCAGTACAAATTAAGAAAAAAACTTTTTTTTTTTTTTTTTGCTGGTTATTTAACCTTTGAAAAACGAACAACCGATTCCAATGAAGAGAAAAAAATTGAAAGCAAACAGAAAAGTGATTGAGTAAATAAATAAAAATATACAAAGATGAAACAGGAAGCAATAGAGGCTTAGCTGACAACCAGATACCTTATATGAACACCCTACTGTATCCTAAAATAAGGCTAATAGGTGGAGGGATGTGGTTTTACTTGAAGTCTGACCTCACAGGCTTTACATAGGCCGACCATTTTGACCAAATTTAAAAAAAATTGGATTTTTTTGTATCCTGAGGAAAAATGCCATCCATTATATAAATTTAATGTTCAATAGAAAGCCTTTCATTAATGGTAGGTGGTTACATTTTCAGCTATTTTCATGTGACAGCATTTTTTTACTGGCTGCCATATTCCATGCCATTATTCTCTATAACTTTTTTTGTACATCACCCATATACATAGTGATACATTAAAGTGGAATCTTAACAAAAAAAAAAAAAAAAAATGTTCTATGTGATCGTGTACCTTCTTCCAGAAGCATCTAATAACATTGAAGGCCCAAAATATATGATCATGTGTGGCTCCCCCAGTCCTGCACAGTCTCCAACATGAATCTCCAATGCCCAAATGTCTTTTCTGGATTGTTGTGAAGAAAAGACCCACCAAAAATTTGATGCCATGAAGTTGGCCTTTGTTTTCCCATGTATCAGTAGGTATTGGTTAGTTTATTTTAGCCTCTCACTTTTTCTTGATGTAGTGAGTATTCATTGGTTTTGAAAGCTGAATTCCATAGTACAATCTGGAAACCACATTCTTCCACTGTTCCAAACACATTGATAATAGGAATACCCCCAAAATCCAAAATTGCAACTACTCAAGGCATGTTTAAGATTGTGGTTAAAATGATGTTTGACTTGAAGGCACCTATAGAGGTCGGCTTTTTCTAAAACATGCTTCTTTGTAAAGCCTCAAAACTTCTAAATGACCCCTTGTGAAGAAAGGAATCATAACATGTGAGGTCCTTAAAAGAAAGTTTTAATGTCAATTTATTTTCCTAACACAGACATGTAATTCAAAGGTGGACAGAAAACATGCAAAGAAATCCAAAACAAAGAATGACTTATAAATAATTTCTAATTCTGAATAGTTGAAAGCTATCTAGGCATATTGGATTGGTTTTGTATAAACTTATGTAGCATATAGAGTTAAAGCTAAACAAGATTGGTTACAGAGAGAGTACAACAAAAACTGATCTAGCAAAACTTCCCTTTTATAGCTCCCGGCTGCCTTTATTATATAGATATATCTTTCATCCAACTAATCAGTAGATATTTTTAAACATAGAGAGACACACAGAAGACAAGCAGGACTTAGAGAGTTATATTAAACAAGAAATCCAGCCTTTGGTGCTCAGGCCCCGGTGGAATATGCAAGCATAGAGAATTTGGACGTTATGATTGAACGGATGACTTAGGGTAGGTACGTCTTCCCTCCAGGAGCCAGAACTGGTAGTGGAATGGAGGCCAACTGAGAATGTTAGCCACATGAAAACAGGGATGATGGTGGTGGATGATTGCAGCATGATGGAGCAGAAAGCTGTTGGCGGTGCAGAGGTGTGCACAGGGCTGACAGGTTTGCAACAGGGGAGTATTGGCATCAGTTGTTGCTGGATGCTAATGCAAGTTGGCCAATGCCGCAGCTGAATTCTTCCATTTAAAACAATCTAAAAGAATAATATTACTGCAAACCTTGCATTGAGCAGATATCTACACAGAAAGTACTTATTTATTCCTGAAACAGTGGTACGGGGTGATGCACTGTACTGAAACTGATGCGTAAATAAAATAGCTTTCAACTCCAACCACTATAACATTCTCCACTAGTATGCAATTAGCTTTAGTTTCCCTATTCAGACCGGCTTCACTAAAAGCATAAAAGGCTGTTGTGCTCAGAGTAACTGAGACATGACAAGAAAAGTGGTGTTAAAAGGAAAAATATTACAGGGGTTGGACATAATTTGATCCTAAATTTAAACAGCTTTACTTTTCTGTTAGTCTCCCTGAGGGGAAATTACTGACATTCCTTCATCAAGATGTGTTTTGAAGGTAAATTATTGGTGATGAACTTCCCTCTGAATTTTTGGTGCAAATAATTACTGGTTTATTTGTAAATAATGGTCCAATGCAAATCTGATACTCATTTAAAGGCTGATCAAATAGTGTTTGCTTTCATATTCTTTAAATATGTGCTGTTTTAATGGAAGTCTGCTTTGGTTTTGGCTGGATGTTAGTTGACTGAAAAGTCTGGATCAATAAAAAAAAATAGAGGCAGACAACGTATTTTACTCTATAAATCAATAAAAAGATTAATAATTAAACAAGGAAGTCATTTCCCAACAAAAAAGGAAGAAGTCCAAGATTAAGTGTGAAGAATTGCCAAAAATATTAGATGCAAAGAGGGATAAGAAATGAGCAGTGCTCAGAATCTCATATGAATGGTTGTGTTTGCTGTTGGGAGACCTTAGATCAGCACTAAGCCATTTTTGAGTCCAACCAAAATGTCTGAAAAGGTGGGTAACATTTGATATCATTTAATGTAAAGTAGTGTATAGAAGTCTTGTAGCTGGAAAAAAAAGACTTTTATATAAGTCTGCCTCTTGACTGGATTGTTTTTAATTGCTCTCATGAGGTAATTCAGCCTCTCTGCGTTTCATAGCTGCAGACTAAAAATATATCAATCAAAAGTCACAATAGGTGAATAACAAAATTGACAGGCCTGCATTAGTAATACTTGTTATTGTTTGATTAGTGAATGCTTTGCCAAAAATCACCCTTGTTAGAGTTCAGTACTGATCCAATTCACGTTTTCTCTTCCTTTCCTCTTCTGACAGAGCTTTTCCTTGCCTTTTTCTCTGGCTCTTTGTTATAAATCTTAAAAATTATCTTACAATCACCTGCGTCTAGCGCATGTGGTGCTTGTCACACAACATGAAGGAGAACAGGAGTGACAGAGCTGTCAGACCCCTACTGGGGTCAGAGTCAACGAAAGAAGATAGCTGCTTGTGTGATTTTCCAATCAGAGCCGGTAGGGCAAGATGAGAAACCTCTGAGTGGTTTCATAAATACTCAGATTACTATCACAAGGACTTAGTAGAGGATATATGAGGGTAAAAATGTTACCCAGTACTGCTTCAAGCTGCTGAACCGGGCAAGTTGATTAATGCCCGAGTAACTACTGTCAGCAGATGGAGATGGCATAAAGCATTGCTTCTCTGCTGAGTGCACCAAGTGAAAAAAAATATTTTTAAGCACAAAAAGGACTAAGTAAAAGATCAAATCAAAGGGTTGGTCTTTATTGCTTAACTTTAAAATGAAATAGGTTTTTTTTTTTTTTTTTAAATAGGCATAGTGCTTAGATATATGAGTACAACCCTCTAATGTTTTAACAGAAGCACTTTTCCAGTATTCAAAACCAGTTCCTTTGAAGCGGGCTAATGCATAGAGATCTTTACTATTTACCTACATATTTAGTTACTTTAACACAATTGTTTTATGTCCTACCCTGCTAACATGAAATAATTGTGTTAAAGTAACTAAATATGATTAAGTAAATGCAAAAAACTGTCTTTTTTCAGTGTGGAGGCCTGTTTTATTCTGTAAATCAGTCTATTAAAAAGGCACAAAGAAGCATTTAAAATGTATTATAGTATATGTTAAAATATATATGAAATGTCATCTTAAATCATCTAAAAAATGTTTTACCCTCCCTGTGTTTGATGAACTGACCCTGCCAATGACCTCTTTGAAAACCTTTGTTAATCGCTCCACTTGTTCTCTACATCACTTTCAAAAACATCAAGAAAACCAGCAGCCTTTTTTGTATTCGAACAAACAGGAACGACCACTACGACAGAAAATATGACGACGATCTGACTTTGTTGGATTTCTGTTTATTGGGAACAACATGAAAAAAGGACAATGATTTACATCAGATTGACCCGTGTGGATCATTACAGACATACGGACACGGAAACCGAGAATTGGCCTCAAGACTTCAAAACGTTAATACGACAAAAAAGAAAAAAAGTTCAACGGCAGTAAGTTACCTGCACACCACTAACATCTGAAAGACACATTTTTATTCCTGTTTATACCAGCAGGAAATGTTGTACATATTCCCCGATGGAACATGTGAAGTATATGAATTTCTTAATGGATTCCTATGTGCTTGGAATGTGTCACAGAGAAGAAAATATAAAATTAAGATAAAAAACACCCTCTTTTTAACATTCAAAGAAGACACTAAAGCCTCTTCCATATCGGTGACCAAGGAGTCCTGTGATAACGTGAAGCGGCTCAGGGAGCGCTGATCTCCTTCTGAGATCCAACAAAAAGTCCTTCATTTACAATCCTCTACCTCCCAGGTTCACGAACAAGGATGCAAAACACATTCCAGCCTGTTAGCCATTAAATGAACGTCCACATTTCCTTTATAGGTCCTTGTGTGTTTTCAAAAAAAGCCACATTCATCATTTAAACACCGTCCACAGCGTCCTCCGTCAGCTAGTCGGACTTCCCAGTGCCTACGGGACAGGGGTGAACCAGATGGAGAGTCCGGTGACATTTCCTGGTAAAAAGTTGGAACTACACCACAGTACACAGTTTTCACAAGTCATGCTAATTTACAAGAACTACAAGTCAGAATCAAAGCTAACGTAAAAACCTTGAGTAAAAACTACCTCCAAGAAAATGATACCAATGGTTATAAATTATTAGCTTAGTTTAACTGAAGCCTTAAAAGATATTTTCCTACCAAAGAATAAAATGTAAATGAATCTATTAGACTGGCTGGGTCCCTCTCATGAAAACAAAAAACTCTAAAAATAAACAACATTTGGTGATCAGCTGCACATCATTAGTAAGGAGCAGAACAGACGGGGAAGAAGACCTTTTTTTAATGAAAACAATTCAATAAATATCACATTCCAGAGGGGCACATGTTGCTCTGTTGGCCAGTATTCAAAGTCAGGCAAAAGTAAAGGTTTGTGTTGGTTCAACAGCTTGGAAAAGAAAAATGAAATTCCATGCCTGAAAACAAGAGGAAAATAAGGCCTCTTAAATAAATATTCTTCTTTTAAAGTTTTTTTTATTTTTTTCAGGAAAAACGGTTAAAAAAAGTGGCATTCCCGCCTTTTGAGAAAAATACTTATCAAAGGGAACCGCTGTGAAACAAGGCTATACCATCCGGGAGTTTGTGTCCGAGGAAAAATGGCCGAGGTTTTGTTTTTGCCGACGACCTCTGTTGTTTTTTGGACATTTCCTGAAGAAAAAAAACAGACACATTTTCTTTCAGTAAATCCATTAAGACAAAATATTTTTTAATGTCTTAGATTTACACATATTCTGTTATATAGTTCTATTTTGAAGAAAATTTTACAAACTAGAAAGCAGAAGTGGATAGAGTACACACAAATTGTCACCATATTTTTACTCAAATGAAAGTAAATTGTTGCCTTTAAAGGAAATATTTGATTAAGAATAAACAAGTATTTGGAATGCTATTCAAGTACTGAGTAAATGATCTACTGAGTACCCATGATCAAAACAAGTGATTTAATATTTTTGCAGGTACAAAGCTTACAAAATAAATACTTACAGTAAGTACAATAGCTTAAATTAAGATATACTGTTTACTGTATTATAACTGAACCTTCAAATGACACAGCCGACTTGGCAGATGGAAAATAATAAATAACCAATAAGCCTTGAATACAAAAAAAAAAGTATCTCTAAATGGGGAAGTGTGAAGCTTGTATTTGCTAAGTGAAGTTTCTCAAAATAGATGGAGTAACCAGAAATTGTACTAAAGTTCTAAGAGAACTGATATTTTATCATGTTTACTCAAGTGAAAGAAAGAGGTACAATACTGTAAAGTTACACCTAAAAGTACTTTTCTTTTTTTTCTTTTTATTTACACAAATGTAACTGGTAACTACCCACCTCTCCTAATAAGGATCCAAACATTACTGGAAACGTTTTGTAATTTATTTACATACAACAGAAGACAAGAAATGTTTTTTTTTTGTTTTTGTTTGTTTTTTTTAATAATAAACTGCTAATTGATTATATCAATAGGTGCCTGAATGAGGATGTAAATTTCATACATTATTTTTAACATATAACTGTATATTTGTAGTTTATTACAGCCTAAAATGGTAAAAAAAAAATAAAATAAAAAATCCAATCCAGTTAGAATACCAATATTTCATTAAAGTCTTCTTACCCTTTTTGGATTAATTAAAGTGGGCTCATATATTTTCTAAATGAAAACAAAAAAATACAAAAAATATGCTTCAATCTGAAAGTTAATTTGTCTTTGCACCAATCTATTTTGCTGATCTAAATAGACCAAATCAGGGTTTTTTTCTCACCTAGTGATGCACATTACCACGGCAACAATGATGGCGATTTGCACAGCTCCAATAATGGCTGCGATCAGGACGTAGTGGAGCTTCTGTCCACTGGGAACAACGTACAGGATGTTGAAATCCTGAGGCTCGTCACACTGAGCACCTTTGTATCCTGCGTCGCACCTGCATCCCAAACACATCAGCAGCGTCACCAGGTGGGGCATGAAAAATAGCACTTTCCTAGAGTAATCCAACTACTAAGTGCACCAGAGAATCAGAATGGATCCAGAGAGGCTCAGTAATTATAAAGTAACAGTTAGAGCACTTTACAGTAACTACACAGTGTTCAATACTTCCTCAAACTACATTATTGAATTTTAATCTCAAAATTGGCATATTTTAACAAAATAAAGTTTTGGGAAACATCTCAGCAATATAATATAGATCAGAGTCACAATATTTTCCCCCAGAATTACAGAATGGTCAAAGAGGTGCAAATTCGCTAAGAGAGCTGATTGAGATTACATATATATATATATATATATATATATATATATATATATATATATATATATATATATATATATATATATATATATATATATATATATATATATATATATATATATATATATATATATATATATCTACATATATTCCAATAAAAAATCCTTTTCTAGTCCATACCAATGATGTAGACCCTGTGATGAAGGCTGAGGAAAAATGTTTAAATATTTTGTCTTTTTGAGGTTTTTGTCTTATAAATGTGTAACAATGATAACTGTAGTTGTCTTTAAATAGATTTGCTGAGTTTTGGGTGCAGTAGTGGGGTTCTGCTTCTGCTTACAGCTAATTTTTTAGGACATGGAGGGGAACAGGTGAATAAAAAAAAAGCACTGCAATACAAAAGTGAGAAGCTTTCTCCATGTACCCTCTAGGGATCCACCGATCCGATGCCTGGATCAGATATCAGCTCTGATATTGACCAATATCTGTCATTTGATATCAGATATCAGTGATCCAATCCAGTACACTTCATCTCTTTCTTTTTTCCATCTATTTGTTAATAAATTATATAAAATACGTAGATACCTGTGTTAATTTCTACCTTCTTTAACAATTATATCTCATGGCTAAATATTTAAGTCTTTGTTTATATTAACATGCACGTATGGATCAGAGTGTAAATACTATACATAACCATATGAATGCTTAAATTAACTTCTTAATATTTATTAAACTGTTTTAAAAGGAATTCAACATATCAATTTTAGAAAGGGGAGATGGAACAGTCTTATTTGTAAATTTTGGCTTTCTCAGACATAAACCTAATTATTATTATTAATTATGGTTTTATGTAGGGCTTGTTTTAGGGTGTGCTTAAAAATAAGTTTAATAAGTTTCTCGCCTATAAATTCTTTACTTTTGGAGGTTTGGTTGTGCTATTTTCCAAATCTTCATCCTAAATCTGGAAGAATACAATAAATATCAATCTAGAGTCACTAACCTGCAGGTGGCCATGTTGTACTTGATCTCACATTTACCATGGACACAGAAGCCAGCGTAGCTGTCAGCACAGGGGATGGGCATGCCGGCGTAGAAGCCTTCTCCTTGATCCAGGCCTGTAGTTTCTGATCAATTTAAAGGGAGAGAGCACAGAAAAAAATACATTGAATGGAGAATTTTTAACAAATGGAGAGTGGAGTTTTTGCATCTGCAAAAAAACTATAATTAACTAGGATGGCTAATTAGCATAATGTGTAAACATCACAAAGTTACAACAATGATATCTACTATAAAATTGTTCCTTTTATGAATTGTTTTCTTGCCTATTTTTAAATGTATTTTTTAACAAATCTAATCCATCAGGGAGGAAAAGTCGCATCAAATGTTCTTTTTTTGCAAACTTTTGGTTTTCTAAATGGAAAATTATGAAATAAATACTAAAGTCTCACAAAGATAAATGTTGATGTTAACTTTAATTTTTAAAGTGATGAAGGAAATCAGCTTCAATGCCACATACAGCTCATTGAGGTGACATAAAGGCTCCAAGTAATAAGCTTGGGTTATCCCTCCCTGCCTCCCCTCCTTCGTTCCTTCCTTCCTTTCCATTGTATGAATTCTTAATTCTTTAAAAATAACCATTACAAAATTTAAATTGGAACAACAAAACATTTTTTTAAACTAAATCACATGGAAATTTAACTTCTTTTAGTGCAGATCCACAAGTAACTCTTTTGTTCTGTATTAATATATTTAAAATGATAAATGATTTGTTTTGTGCTTTTCTTTGCCCCAACCCCCTAGGAAATATGGTCTAGATCCCCAACACAAAAGGAATAGTTTGATTTAACTGTCTTTTTGTCCAGCATAAAGACAGATGGTGGACATTTAAATGATCTGTAAGGAGTTGACACATCTGGAACCGAAACCAGAGGAGTGGTGGGGCGACGTGTAATAGACGTTACTGGTCCAGACAATCAGTCAAAACACTGAGTAAAGGTCAGCAGACAGAAATGACCTTACAGGCTCATTAGCAGTAGCAGCGCTTCTTTGTGTTGGTTGGGTTTGCATGAGGCTCAGCTGTCAGGTACAGATGCCTAAATACAGAAACCCTCATATACAATTTAATACAGTATTGTTTTGCAGAGGCAATGACAGATGTACCGGTACCAGGAAATGTTCTGGTTCCTGTAATTCACTCTCACTAATCTAAGCACTGGTCTGATCATACATCTTTGTTGGGTATAATGTTATAGTTTGGCTTCGATGTTGACACTAAATTGAATTCTGTGTCCTTCACACTGTTTCTGTATTCCAGGGTCACCACAGCAGGTGATTGGGACCTTATAACAGAGTTGGCAAGAAATACAATTGGCTTCTTTCTTGAAACAATCAGTATTCAAACCTAGGAGCCTCGTTTATGGAGAAAAACTTAAACCCATTTGATCATCAAGGAGAGACGGTTAACTAATTCTGTTGATCATAAAAGGGAAACTTAAAGACTGAAATATCTTAAGGAGTTTCTTTTCAGAGAGATTTGGGTCTTAATTCATAAAGTCTGCATCTAATGCATCTCTCCAGGTTCTGTTGAATCTTCCCGTTCTTTAAATACCACATTTACATCGTGCATCAGGACATAAGCTCCACCAATTACCCTGTTTCTGCTCTGTTAAATCTGTATGTTTACTCAGGAGAAATGATAGCATCACAGCAGGAGCAGCTCTTTAAATCTCTGTTTTCACTTTATTTCACCATCAGCACCGATTTACAGCTTGTGGGCTTTAAATTTTACTGCTCTTTCCCCCAGTTAGGACTTTAGTGTGTATTAAAGAGATTTTTATTAGGTTTATGCTTCCGTTATTGCTCCGAAGCAGCAGGTTCAGACACAGGTTAACAAGCTGTTGAAGGCCACAGGGATGTTGTTGGTCGGATTAAAGGCAGGAAGAAGATTTACAGCACAGGTCGGCAATAGTGAGCACAAAGTCTTAGAGGGCGATCTTCTTGCTGATCTTCTTCAGAGCGAACAGAAAGTGACTCTGATGGATGACGTTCTGTTAAGAGACTTTAACTTCAGGCTTTAAGCCTTTTGCTTCTTTAGCCTGTTTAGGAAATTTTACCACATTTTGAATGCAGCCTAAGCGAACATGACCTCTGACTGCATATATTTATATCCTAGGGAAACAGGAAGTATTCAATCTCTAATCAAACCTGAAAAAAACTCCTGTTATTTTTATTTAAAATAAAAAAAATGGAGTCACCTCACTGAATATTTGTTTTAAAGCTTTTCAGCTGCTGCATTAAAAAATGAGTTTATGTTAGAGCTTTTCACACATCTCTTCCAGAGCTGCTTGTAAGGTTAGAAACTGATTTTTGATAAATGCTTCTCATGTTTACATCTAAAGAAGGCAGAAAAACTCCAAGGCATTGTCCAGTTTTTTTCAAAAGGAAGGTTCTTGTCACCATGTAGATGAAACATTTATCACTTAGAGGTTAATGTTAAAATGTTTGAAACGTTTAAAATGTTTGCATTTAATGCTTATTTATAGTTCTCTATAGGGAATATGTTAGGTGGAAATCCACAACTATGATCTTCACAGAGCGGAGTGGTTTCAGTACATCTGGAGGGCAGCTGATGGAAACTTCAAAACACTCTTTAACAGGCGATTCTGCTTAGCCTGACAGTTCTGATAAACATGGACGCATCCTCACCTAAGACGTTGACTTTGAACGGGCTGCTGTCGTCCTTCTTTCCCAGTTTTTCTTTATCCGCTGTGGAGAAACAGAGAAGACAGTCGTCATATTCAGACTGAATTTCCTCAAACACACCAAGAGCTCGTTCTTTCTAACATGTCTGGAGATGCTGAAGCGATTGCAGCTCACAGGTACTGCTTGAAACGTTGGAGCTTCTTTAGTTGGATTTTGCTGACATTGTCTGACTGCTTGACTTCCTGTCTGCTGTCTGTGTGTGTGTGTGTTTCTTTTCCCTTTAGGACAGAATAAAAGAAGGAGAGGACATCAGGGGATGTTTACTCACAGTCTGAATCACTCCCTGTTCATCAGAGTGGAGGTGGTGATGGGTCAATCTGAGGCACTATGTGTGTGTGTGTGGGTGTGGGTGTGTGTGTGTGTGTCAGAGAGTGATGGGTGAAAACAAACAAACAAAGAAGCAGCAGGCTTCTGTTGGCAGGGCTGCTGTGGTTCCTGTGAGCAGACGTCATGTTCTCATGCTGTCTGCAGGAGGAGCTGCTCTGAATCTTAACCAGAACATTTCTCCATATTCTGTCTCGTGTTTTGTTGTCAGGTTTGACAGGAAAGCTTCAGCGCCGTCTTTGAATTTTAGGACTGAGTTTTCTTTCCGGGCTCCTTTTTGAAAGTTTGGTGGATCAGATTTACTCAAAGTCAGGGTCTGTTGCAGCTGTGGGGCTGAAACTTCAAGGTTTTAAAATAAATCATGGCTTTAATCACATTTTGGTTATTGCTGAATACCTGTTATGGGCTTTTTGTTGTCTTTTTATATTCTGAATTCTTCAACATTTGACTGTCACTGCTTTCTTTCAGGCTTGAAGCAATAAAGTTTGGAAACCATTATGCTCACCTTTTCCCATACGCTGCTTAGTTTTTTCTGCACTGAAAAAAATAAAGCGACTATTTTGCACATTTACTTAATCGTATTTAGTTTCTTTAACACAAATGTTCATGTTAACATGGTAGGGCATCAAACAATTGTGTTAAAGTAACCAAATATGATTAAGTAGATAACAAAAACAGTTTTTCTCTGTATTTATTAGGGCATTAATAGCTCAGAAAGCTATTGTTCTGCTGGGTTACCAGTCTCTGTTGTGTCCTTGAGGAAGACATTTCACCCGCCTGGCCTGTTAGTGGTCAGAGGACCCACTGACATCTACTGTATAGCAGCCTCCCTTCTGTCAGTCCGCCCCAGGCCAGCTGTGGCTACAAAGTAGCTTATCACCATCGGGGCGTGAATGACTGAATGTGCTGTAAAGCCCTTTAGGATTCTTGGACTTGATAAAGAGCTATGCAAGCACAGGATATTTACTATTGACTTTCAGTCATCCAATTGATGATTGAAAGACATAAAGACCATAGACTTTTTATAAACAGGTTTTGCAGAGAGGTAAAAAAAGAAGCCATCTTTATCAAAACATAGAACAGAAGGGGGCAGATTGTGGTTTCAGCTTTTTAGCATCCATATTGCCGCAATGAAATCAATTCCAAATAAATTATTCAAGCAGGTCTGTTGAAAAATTAACTCGAGAGTGATGGACAGGTCATATATCTGTATCACTTGGAACCAGGAGGACAGGCTTACATGTATTTAAAGACAGCAGCTCCCGAACTCCAGGTTACACAACGATGAGCCTCCAGAATTGAAACTCCTGGATATGTATTCATAAACTTGAGCGAAGTCCAATTATAGCCCATTTCTCTGTTTATTTAAAAGGATAAACTGAACTTAAGGCAATGAGAAATACAAATCAAAGTAGACTTCATGCAACATGATTAATGAGGGGAAAGGATGATTGGAAGCAAGAAGATACTTAATGAATTAAGAGGCTTCTGAGTTCCAGGTAAAAGAAATCTGCATCCTTCTTCTCAGCAGGTGTATCACCTAATCTTGTAATGCTGCAGCTGTAAAATTGGTGATTTGATTTCATAATTAGTTCCTGCAAATAATTGTAATGTTAAAGACAGGATGTGTGGTGTTGTAAATGTGTTGCTAGATGCTTTAAATGAGGCAATCAATGGTCCTGATGGGGATCTATCTGTTATAAAATCAGAAAATACTACAATAAAAGCGATAAAAAGAGATTTGTTATCTTAAGTTTTCAGTTGTCCTCACACAGATAGACATTCAGGCCAACCCCACGCTGAGAGCAGCAGAGTGGAACACACAGAAAACCAAACCCACTCATCCATTTTTAAAGCTGCACCATTCATGGAGAAATATTGACAATATCTCACTCTGCTCTTTGTGTCTCCCACCCTCCTGCATCCCTCAATCCCCACCTCCCTCCCACTCATCTTTTTCTCTCAGCCCTGATCCCTGCTCTTTCCCAAACCAGAAGAAACAAAACACTGAATGACTGACTCAGTAACAGCAGTGGGTTTCTGTGTTGTTGTCCTCAAAGAATTAACACCAGCCTTGTTTCCACTTGGTGGATGTGGAGTGCGTATACTGGGATGTCTGAGGAGTGACCCTATTGGCTAGAAAACACGCTTCTGGCAGACTGAGATGTGCCTTTTGAAAAGCACAGTGAATCTTATTGAGTAACACCTTCTTTTTTTTTTTGCTTATGTATTTTTAATGATCAGATCAGAGCTGAGTGTGTTGAAATTCATTTCAGATTTATCAAAGACGAGATCTGCACCTGCTGCTTGGCTGTTTCATCTAGAAAAAAATGAAATAAATGAATAAGAAGATATAAACTGCATCACCCCATCTTTATTATAGAGCTTTATGGTTCATCTACCTGTTACATTGATGATCTGAGATCAAATAATCATCTTATAATGATGCTTTGCTCCTAAAGATAGTTGCAGCAGCAGCTGTCTAATTGGCAGCAGTTATTTTTCTAGTTATAGAGGGGGGATAAGGTCAATTATTATGATATTCCCTTTGGTTCAAACTCAAATGGCTTTTTTTCTGTGCAGCAATGTTGATCAAAATAATATTTTCATGGAAACGCTTATAGCTGTAGTGCATATTTATTGATATCACAGCAGTTATCCCCCTGTAAGGTAGGGTTTTTGCACGTTTATTAAAGAGCCTGATGGTAGAGTGGAAAAGGAGTGGACTCCAACAATCTCATACTGGGTTTTATGAGATGCTGGGCTCAGAGGGATGTTTCTACTGCCGTGTAAGTGTTGAATTTTAAATCATGTAATTATCCTGAATAATGTTTAATTATCCCCTCAAACATGCTGTCCTTCATGCAGATATCATGCATGTTTATGCATGCAGCTGCTTTTTTAACGCTGGTAGCTCCAGGCCGGGTCGATTTATCTTCATTTTCCTTTCCTTCTGCTATTGCTTCATCAGCTTCGGGGGAAGGGGCAGGTGCTCATCACCTCAGGGTGTTGCACATCCACATGGTAGCCCAGCCAGCCTCCGTCCTCAACTGGCACCGCCCAGAACCAATCAGGCTCTTGGTCACAGGCCGCCTTAAAGCCACAAAATGTCAAAAAAAATCCATAATTCCTGACGTGTCAGTATCTGTTGCCAACCCCCACAGAGAGCACGGCTCAGGCAGGCCGACACACTGAGATTCAAGGTGAGTCTAGCAGCAGAAATGAGGAGATTCTGTGAGCTTGAAGAAGCCAGAGCAAGTTGGGGTGTTGGCTTGTTCTTTGAACAACATCAGACATCAAGCTGGGACTGCAAATCAGGTTTGTATGCAACACTCACACCTCAGAGCATCAAAAGAGCTCTGACTCATCCTCCACAAGAAATCCTTCTGCATATTTTAAAAGCTTACATCAGAGAGGGGATGAAAATATATTTTAAAAAAAAGATGCGGATTTAGTCCACAGAAGCCATTCTTCATTTTAATGATGAGGTTAATGAAAAAGCAAAAGGGCATCTCTGCTCTGCAGTGATACAAAGAAAAGAAACAAAGAAACAATCCTTGGTAGATTCTCTAAATTCTGTATTTCTACACTTTATCAATCTGACACTCAGACAGACCTTTAATCTCTTTATCTTGTTTAGGATTACAGCAAGTACATTAAAAAGGTGAAAGACAAAAGAGGAAGAGGTGCTATGCTTGTAATAGAAAAATACAATCTGATGGAGAAGGTTAGAGCTGTTTTAATGTCAGTAACGGTAAATGTTGTCTGCAGCCGGATATGTTTAATCGCTTCTTCTTACCAGGTTCCTGAACCACCCCAAAAAAGAAGCAGTTTTTTATTTTCTCTAAGCAGTTGGCCCTCTTACCTCATCCCTCTGTGTGTGAGCAGCAACCAGCCTTCAGGGAAAACTGATTTTCTTTTTTTATAATTTCATCACCATTCTTCTGTTCACTGCCCACACTTAAAGACCAAAGGTGAGAACATTGGTGGGAATGTAGAGAGGCTTTTAAACAGCAGAGTGCTGCAGAGTTGTCATCACTTTAGACTGTCTCTTTCAGGACCATGAGATATTTTAACACCCCCACATGAGGCTATAACTCCTTCTTAAACTAGTGGCATAACTTCTGGTTACTAAATCTGGCTTAAAGAGTTAAAATAATGATACTTCGCGGCTTTAGTTACATTTTTCTGAATTATTCCTGCAGTCTGTCTTCACTTTGCTCTTTGTACTAGATTATTTAACCCCCACTGGTGCTTTTAGGATCCAATAAACAGATTTGTTTGCATTTCTGTAATGCATAGCTTTTAATGTACTGTCACTGGTCATTTTATAGGTACACCTTGCAAGTTCCAGACTGGACTTTTCCTTTACACTCAGAACTGTCAAAAGTAAACCACAAGCTAATATTATGCTTTAGGGGTGCATTGGGGTCAACCATTTTCCATTTTCCAATCATTTAAGTGAGCTTAATGCTAAAAAGCGGTACTTTACGCTACAAACGCGGATCGAACATCCCACACTCACAATTCAGTAAACACAAGCTCAGGAGAGCTCCGTAAAGCTAATACCCCATCCACATAAAAAAGGAATAGACTGAAGGGTTTGAGCTTCATTACTGCGGGTTTGAGCAGCTAAAACTGTACTTTGCTCTGCTTTTGTTTTTAAATTATAAATATTCTTAATTTCTGAAGACAGTATCATCTTTAGCCTAAAGTGCCCAAGCAAGCATGAGATGAGCCATTATTTCCACCACACCGTAAAGGTGCTTTGATGGGTGGAGCTGATCCTCTCTCCACATTTAGATACTGCAGTGCATTCAGCAGCTTCTCATCGGATGGTCGGGGAGTATAGGCGTTATTAGTTTTTAGGAAAATCTAACATGAACAGTTTGGCAATAAATACAATAATTTAATATTGAATAGTTGAATTAAGGTTTTCCAATTGGTAGAGAATTCAGGGAATCTTTGAATCTTTCAATACAGGAAAATTGGATGTGTTTAATTTACATTATTTCAAAGATTCCACAATATAATCACACTATTTTCCATTTGCAGTTGGCTGATGTCAGAGAAACAGATAAATAGAAAGCAATGCTGGGCACCATTGCACTGAATGATTACTATGAATGAATGATTAATTCTTCTGCTGGATGAGAAAATTAACATTTTTTCGTATCAAAACTGAATTAATGTTTGTGGAAAAAATTTAATTATATAAAGATTACCCTTTGCAAGTTGTTTGAGATGAGCATTTTCTTAGGAAGTCAAAGGGTCTGAATGTAAACATGATGTTAATTCTGCAGTTAGTTTTCCAGAACCTTCCCCAAGTGTCAGATTGCTGCAGCACATTGACGAGGTTTGCATTAATAACTGCGTATTACAGCCCTGCTCCGGCACGCTTGGTTTGGTTCCTAATTGAAAAAGCCGGTGATCAGGCGCATTAATTTGACTGACATGGATTCAGTAACAAGACTGATTTATTAAACTGTCATGGTGCTGCACCCAGCAATGATCAGCAGGAGTGAAGCACCATCAGTCCTGCATTTGACTACATCTGTAAGTGTTTGTGAATGCTTGGCCTGTTAGAGAGTCAGAAAACATTTCAGGTGGGAAATGGAAACAGCAGAAAACAAGGATTCAAGTGGAGGGAAATATTAAATAAACAAAAACTGCTCAGACGGACATTTAATCGGAATAAAACAATGTACAGAGGGAAGCTTTAACTTGACTTAGATGGTGGATGGACGAACGGACAGATAAATCACTGGATGGACAGAATACCACAGTTCCTCATGTTCAACCATTTCAAATTTGACATTTAAATCCGGCAATTAAAAATCCAGTTCAAAAAGCATTTTAACTGCACATTTTAAATAAAATGAGGTATTGTTAATTATATCTATTAATTCATTATCAAGTACTGTAATTTAAAAATGCATTTTCAAATCATATTGACTGGAGAAATAAGAGTGAATTCATAAATCTGATTATATAAACTTTTTTTATTAATAAACATTTAAAGCATTTTTCACTTCCATTTTCTAAATAGATCTTTTTAGCAGTTAAATTTGCCTTTCATATTCCCCTCACCATTTTGCATTTTCCATAACCCTACAGGTCCCTGAACACAATTAAAACTAAGTTAAACCGATCACAGTTGCTCCTAGGATGTAATAACACTGCTGATGCTGTAGAAGGCGCTCTGCAAGCACCAACATTGTTCCAGGGCCGACTGTTATTGTTTTTATTGGCTGTCATACTTAATTTAAAATGCAGACTATTTGTCGATTGGTCAGTAGACAAATCGTAACTAACATTTAGATTGAAGTAGCAGGCAGCATTTGGACCAGCGCAACAGTCTAGTTAATCACCTTGGCTAACATATACAATAACTGAAGGAGACAACTGCAGAAAGGCAAAACTTTGCACGCAAAAGAAAAGTTTCTCTCAAAATTCGATAATATTCTCCATTTAGAAACAGAATTTGATAAATACGGTTTCAAATTGCAGTCTTTAATAATCCATTAACAAATGTACAATTCATCCTTTGCATTTTTTCTTAAAGATGCAATTACAGAACACGTTTAAATTAGATTTCTAATTGTATGATTTAAATGTAAAATTTCAAATGGTTGTATTTCTTTTCCAGTAACTCTCCTGGTTCTCCGTAATTCTGTTCTTAGAAGAAATAATTGGAGTTTCTGTTTTACCAAGGTTGACATGGAGGAAGTTGTCACTTCAAACTACTTAAAATATTCAGTTAGCTTAAAAGAACAGTAGAGCTGAATGTCATCAGCATAGAAATGATAAGATACATTTAGACAGTATCTGACGATTATTAGCGTAGTGATGCGTTTTATGAGTTTCAACATTTGTTAATGCAATACGTGATGCTTGGATTTATTTAACATCATTGAGTGTTCCCTGTTTCAGAGAGCAGCACCCCCCACTGATAGAGCCCTAAGCCCTAAACCTGGCTGAACTTTGCTTCATGTTTTTCCTCCTTTCTCTGAAATGCATTTCCTGTCAGGCACCTTTCAAATAAGGACAAGTAGTCAAATAAAGAGCAAATATTGCAGAAGAGGTACACAATATGATAAAAGCTCTGAATGAGGAGGAAAAACTGAAAAATATTTTGGGTGAAAGAGAATGACAAGGTTAAATAAATCAAACGGAAAAGAAAGAAATCCGTAAACACAGAATGTGAAATAGAATTAGGAGGAGCTGCTTTCTTCAAAATGACAAACCTGAGCTGCAAAAAAATCCCAGTTTTGTCTTTAAATTAAGCAGAAGCAAAAACACCCTCCCATCTGTTTTTTTTTTTCATTCTGAAGTTTTATTTGGCTTCTCTAATACATTACCACATGTGATGGTGGCCTCATGTGATCAGATGATGGGATTAAATTCTATTAATGTGATCAGCAGGCTGATTTTCTAAGGACCAACTGATATCTGTGTTTATTTATGTGTCAAAATTCTTGTAAAAAACCTGAAAAGGCAGAATTTCTAGCTTGCCACCATCAGTAGCCACAGCTGCCCTGGGGCATGCTGACAGAAGCGTAGCTGCTGCTCACAGGCTCCACCGTCAGTATGCAATCTGGTGTGATGTATCTTGCCCAAGGACACAACAGAATGGTGGCTGCAGCTGTCCGGTTGCAGGATATACCTCTGCATCCTGCACCAGTGCCGCCCCAGTTTGATCTCTCATGTCGTTAGATGCTATCCGCCATATTCAGAAAATCTAATTAGGCTTTAACACTAAATGTCTCTCATTATTATTATTATTTTTTTTTGTAAAAGTAAATGCAGATAAAGCATAATTTCTGAAATACTGCACCATGCACCTACAGTATATGTGACTGCTTTGCTGAGCGGTGCAGATATTAACCATAGGCTGTGAAGATAAACTTGTAAAAACAGGCTTGTTCTTCCAGCTGTAAACCAATGCCAGTCTTATTTAGATGTAAGTTTATGGAAAAAGCAGCTCAGTGCAGCTTTCAGCAAAGAGGCATTAAGTGATTGTTTTATATCATAACTTTCTACAATTTGATTCTAAGTGAATTTATATGAAAGTAGAACAAAATGCTATGTAGTTTAATGTACACTGGAGCTTCATTGTCTTGTAATGCGACTTAAGGCATTATCAATGAATGATTTTTTAACCACATAAGCCTGGCGTCCCAGTCAGCCTTACCGAGGCACCTCCCCAGGTGTTTGACGTCTATCTGCTCCTGCTTCATGCACGACGCCTCTCTGACCAGGCAGGGGTTGTTGTAGGAGTTTCCGTCTGTGGCACAGACCGGGTTTTCGTTATGGCCGCTGCAGTCGATGTTGCATATGCACCTAAGAGCAGAGGTCAGTCGTCAGAGCAATATTTCAGCTGATAAATGTTTTTTCTGTATCTTAACCCTTTATAGGGCATTCAGTGAAAGACTTTAAACATCTAAATTTCAAGCAAAGAATACACTGCAAAAAAAACTGAAATCTAAGTAAGTCAGTTTTTCTTACAATAAGTGCATTTTTTATTGAACTGAGCAGGTAAGTGAGATACTTTGCAAATGGAATAAGAAAATTTATATTTAAAATAAAGGAAAAAATGCAGTCTCCTATTTAAAGTGCATAATATGAAATAATATGATTTTAAGCATATAAATGCTCCTTCAACTGGGATATTTTCTTATTTACCTACTCAAATAAAGGGTAAATACACTTATTTTAAGACATTTTCACAAATTTCTTGATCATTTTTGTAGTGTGTTATTGGAACAAGACCTTATTACCTTTGTAACATTAAAAAAAATTTATATTTTGATGGCATAAATGAATGTCAGTGTAATAACAAGAAACGCCAACTTGCCCGTACATATTAAGAAAAATAACAAAAGTGCTTCTATAAGATATTCATGAAAAACACTGAGAGTAAAAGAAATGGCACTCCATTTGTAAGGGGTATGCAAGTGATCAAAAATGGTAACTTGCCCTATAAAGGGTTAACCCCATTTCTGACACACAGCATTTACCAGCACTGAAGTAGTAACCAAAGAGTATATAGAGATATTATGACACAGCTTCTGTGACAAATCTTCCAGAGATTTAAATAAAAACCTAAACAAACATTTCAGGGTAGAACTGATATCTCTGTACTATTTATAGAAAGACTTCCCCACGCCCACCTTCTCACCCCTCTGAGCGCTCTCCTACCCAGTCCTTTGCTGCCATTCAACCTTCTCCGGAACCATGCAGGTAGGCAGGGTTTGCCTAACTAACTAACTAAGTAACTAAGTAACTAACTGACTAACTAACTAACTAACTAACTAACTAACTAACTAACTTTGCCTAAATCAGCGAAAGCAACGTGAAACGTCATCAGCCTTGACCCTAGTACTGTTCTATTTCACAAGAACCAGAACACTGAGAACCAACAAAATCCCCGGATGATGTTCTCCCCCCTTCCTCTTTACAGAGTATGCATCAGAGCAGACCTGTCCGTTTTTGAGATTGACAGCTGTCCCAGCATGCAACACGGCAGCAGCAGCTTCCAGGGGACAGAGCTCAGAGTATTAAGTTAAAAGTTCTCTTTTCTGTTGCCGTTGTTCAATAAAAGTACGTTTTAAGATCATTTAAGGCAAGAGCATAATTTACTGATTTAGTATGTAATTTCAAAAAAAGTTCCAATGTTAGGAGGACCGCGGCAACCAGGGGACCTGCGACGCTAGCATACCCCTCTTGGCATAGCCTTGTGTGAAGTACAGCTGCCTCTGATGGCGATTTTTTTTGTTTTATTTAGCAAAATGTTAAATATATTTGTGTTTATCTGACTGTGTTAATTATTATTCCCCCACTAAATGAACAATAAACATAAGAATTTATTATTATCTATAGACTGTTCGTACCAGGAGGTGAAATACAGCTCCAGGCGAGCAGAGCGTGTGGTGACGTCACAAGTACACATCTGTTCAAATTGACCCATATTTATGCTGCGTGCTCCCGTTCTCCCTAAGTCCAGACGTTCCTGTGTACTTCTCAAGGACATACTTGGCGAGGACACAAATCCATACTCGCATTCTTGTGAACTGAGAAACGGCCTTTGCTTACTGCTAATTTCCTCAACCCCAGGCAAGCCCGATGGTCCTTTTACTCTTCCCGTTTTAACCTGTAGATCACCTACTGCCCCGGCTCTAAGAACCTGAAGCCCGACTCCCTGCCTCACCTGTATGTCCCCCAGGACTCTCACTGGAAAAAAAATCAAAATCTAGATAAGTATTTTTTTCTTAAAATAAGTGCATTTATTCTTGGATTGAGGAGGTAAAAGAGACATTTTTCCAATGGAACAAGACAATTTCTATTGGCAAAATGTCTCTTAAAATAAGAACACATTATTTCAAGTGTATATTATCTAATTATCTCATTTTAAGAGTAAAAATAGTCATTCCATAGGAAAAATATCTCATTTACCTACTCAAATTAAGGGTAAATACACTTAATTGAAGACATTTTTACTTATTTCAAGATCGCTTTTCCAGTGCACATACAGTACATTCACCGTCAGATCTCCTAGTAATGTCTGGCAATGCTCTAACTACCCGCTCTACTCCCAGATAGTGCGCGCCCGGCTTCCCACCTTTCCGGCACCTGCAGCTTTATCTTCTAGGAGCACTCTGAAGTGCCCCAGCCTAAATAAACATCTAAACCTTTCTCCTGCTTCCAGAGTGTGTGTTCTGCATGTGGGCCAAATACTCAAAAACCATGACACATTTAAATAGGACTTTCTAATTTGATCTATTTTTAAAAATTCAGGTAATTGAGTTATAGTTAGGTTTCTAAAACATTACACCATCCTCTTATAGTTGCTCAGGTTAAGTTTAGCCCACTATGACCAAAAAGATTTGCACTTATTCTACCTATTCTACAACATTATTCATGGACATTTTGAATGTATACGAGCCATTTGAACTGACAAACATACTAGTTTCTGTACTTATGTTTGCATTTCGGGACACATCATGCAACGTAGCTGTTGAGCCCATAATGTAAACTGGAAAGCTTGTTGGTCCATTTCAAATACATCTCGTTATCTTTACAGAAAACCTCTGCTTTGGTTTAGATTCCTATTCTTACAAACATCCTTTTCTTGTGTAATGAAATCAATTGTGGGTCTTTTCTGTGCTTTCCTTATTTGAAGGAAGATAAGTTGAAAAAGCCTAATTATATTTTAGCCTTTAGATGAGTTTTAGAGCATAATATGTGAAAGAACGTTTCATTTATCAATCTCATGCTCACCAGACATCCTCTGAGTCTTCGTCACATTCTGCTCCATATTTACACGTGCTGCATTTGGTAAACTTCTTCCCGACGTCAGAGGCTGAGCCCTCATCATCTGTTGATGAACCAGAAGACAGGCAAAGGGAAAAATCTTTTAGTAACAACATATATTTCTCAACACTACTGCATACCACTTTGTAGTTTATATTTCCTTTAAAGTGCTTCAGAAAAAGTGTTACAGTTGTTTTTGTAATTCTTCCTATTTCTTTACATCAAAATCACAAACTTCATCCAGTAACAGAAGTTGTTGCTTATTATTCCTGTAAAATCTCCCAGTCTTGGTCAGACTGAATGGAGAGCATCATTAAATTGAAATTTGTCAAATTGTGCTGCAGATACTCAGGTAGATTTGAGTCAGGTTTGACTAGGACATTAAAACGCATGAACATATAATGGCCTAGGGGTTAAAAAAAATCCACATAAAATTGACAAAATGCTTTTTGATAAAGCTCATTCTTAAATACAGAGTGATATTTGCTTAGTCGCTGGGTGAGTAGACAGGTAGAGGGAGGTAGAGCCTCCATCTACCTCGGCAGGCGGGAATCTCAGTCCGGACCGACTTTTCTGCTTGGCTTTATCTTGGCCCTATTGTGGCTCTACCTTTCTTATACCTAATCCAAAATAGTTAGGTTATCCAGAGCTATTTTCTGTGTTTGGGCTGCTATATGTTTAGGCTTTGGGATTCCAAAGAGACCACTTTTTTCTGCAGTATTTTTCAAGTTCAATTCCTAACTTTAAATTCTCTCTGCTTTTTTTTTATCATCTGGTTTGTTCCTGTTTGGCTGTGACACCATCCTGGAGAGAAATATCAGCTGTGCTGCTGCCATCAACGACTCTGCCATTTGCCTGTTTCCAGTGTAGTCCTGTTTCTTTACTGTGATTAGCAGAATTGACTTAAAGCTTATCTGCCTGCCTGTGTGTTTCCTGGACTGGGCTACCTGTGAAGCTAGCTAACAGTTTTACACATTTCATATCTCTGCTTCTTTTCTGCCTTGGCAGATAGCAGCCCATACTCAGCCTTGTTCTGCAGGAGGTTTACTCCAAAAGTTAAAAGGGAATTTTCCTCTCAACTGTCGCTGCATGCATGCTTGGTGTGAGGGATTGCTGAAGAGTCGTTGCTGCAGGCTCATCCAGGTGGAGCATGTCTTGCAAGTCAATGAGTAAATGCGATCAACTGGTTTTCCTAACCAATCTGTCAGTATTGACTTTCTAAAGCGCCTGAAGGTCACACATGTTGTGAATTGGTACTTTATAAAAAAAAACTGAACTGAATTGAATTAGCAAACATACAAAAGCTAAATATGAATGTAATGGTAAAAGACTGCAAGTAGAAAAACCCATGTAAGAAAAGTAGTAAACTAGCTTGCCAGAAAGAAAGGGCTCCAGACCACTCCAGACCACTAGGGAGAGATGATCATCTACTCATATGGGACGAGACAATAGACACTACGGCCCAATCCCAAACAGCCCCCTACGTTCTACCTGTTCACTATCGATCGTCTCTCCCAAGTAAGTCATACAGTACTTGCAGCTGTGGAGGATGCCTCGATTGAAGGTGGAGGGTATAAAATAGAACGGGACGCCATCTTCCCTCCACCGGAAAAGAAAATCAGTCATTATAAAAAAGAGACACCCCGTGTGCATGGCTTTGGCTCTGTATTGCACGTTACAAGGCGTAAGGGTTTGACAAACTTCACTCAACCTCATGTTACTTGCTTTATATTAAGCTTCTACATCTTGCAGCTTTGTGGGTGTGAAGGGAAGAAGTATGAGTTTAATTTTTATGATTATTCTCATTCTAATACAAATAACCATGAGAAATTGATATGAATGTAAAACCTGTTACACCCGTCTCCACTCTTCCCTTCTTCAGTTAGGGTGTTTTAGTAATTCCATGAATCCCTCAGGTCCATCACTTTAAACCAAACACCTAAAAAGCTGTGCACTGGAAAAATCGGTTTCTATCACATACCTTCCAATATTCATTATGAGTCCAGATTTTCATTCTCTTTCCATATAAAAGTATTTAGTCAGGCTGTTATCCACCTGTAAAACTACACAGTGTGTGGGTGCACTACTGGGTGTAGTCCTATTAGGGAATGTTTTGGAATAGATGCCAGAGTCCTTTAGAATCAAAGTTTATTCAACATTTTACTTTTTTCTTCAACCGTCTGTATCTTGTTTTGATTACCTGTATGTGGAGACCTTCACAGCTATTCACAGACTTAGTTAGAAAAACCTTGTCTGGAGCAGAACAGATTAAGTTGAGTTGTGATGAGCTGTTATGATTGTCTTGTCCTCATCTTTGCAAAGAAACATAAAATACCGACTGCATGAATGACCACTGATGTCCTTTATTGAACTGGATTGTATAGTTGAATCCTTTTTTCTTACAACAAAGAAACACATGAAATCAATCATTTGGCTGTTTCTTAGAACTAAATTCATACAGTCAAAAATATTTCAAAGCGGACCTTCCCTTTTGGAATTACGGGTTTTTCTTCTTCCTAACTTCTGATTTTCTATCAGTGTGAAAAAAGTTGCAGCAAACCAGTTGAATCTGCATTTAAATGCTGGTGTTTACTCCACTGTTAGGCTGCACTGATGTAGATTCACTATTTAAGGGCTGAATGGTCCACTTATTCTACCCACTATGTAGCTTGGGATGGCCCTTAAGATGGCGAAGCCTCTGCAAATGGAGGGTTACTGCGTAGGGGTAGTCTTTAGGGACCGGTTTGGGATTGGGCATAAAACTAACTATGGAGAAGACTGTTTGTGTGTGTCGTGTTTGCAACATGTTAGCATCTCTTGGTCAGTGTATGATCATGTGTATCTAAATAACCCTGAGGTAGCTTGGTATTTATGCTTCAGCTCTTCCTGTTGGAAGGTGAACAAACACCCATCTCAAGAGGACCCCATTTCTAGATTAGATTAGATTAGCCCCTAAATACAACCAACAAAACTTTTGACATTTCCTTCTGGTAAAGTTCCCCAAAAATCCATCAAAATTTTTTTTTGGGTTAATTGCATAATACACCAGGGCCATAGCGTGGCCCTCTGCTTTTTCCTTTTACACATAAAAACACAATATTCACAGTATGGATAAAATACTCAATAAAGATTTTAAAAAACTCTGCTGCTGCCTTAATTTCACAGCTTTATATTCATGTTAAATCTCCCTTTTACCTGTTTCTTTTATCAAGATCTTATTCAGAAGGTACATTTCATAACTTCAAACCTGAAAAAGCAAATATCCAGAATTAAAATCAAAGTAAAGATGAAGGCTTGATAAAAGAAACTGTGTCAATATTCACACGTAACACTCTTGTAATACCTGGTTAAATTTTAATCCTTTTCTTCTGCTGCAACATTTAAAAAACTCTCTCATTTCTCCACTGTGTGAGTTTCGCTCCTCCAACTGTTCAATTTTTTTAATTTTTTCAAATCTTCATCACCGCATGTGATAATCAGCTTTCAGTTGTTTCTATTTGTTCAGCTTTTTTCCACAAGAGTGACTTCATTTCATTTTTTTTTTTAAAAACAACCTCCAGCTCTCATTCACATTTTGTTCCGAGGAGAGGGAGGTGCCACAGCCGTTAACTCTGATGGAGCCCCTTCTGCCATCAAGACATGACACGGCTCAGGCGCTTTTCTATCAGACACAGTCGGGTGTGTGGAGAGGCTCCTGAAGCCTGTCGGCCAAATGGAAACAGAGGCGGCACATTATCATCTTATGATATTGTTATTATCATTACAGTGGGAAGCGTTTAATAACATCTCGCATGATGACGTCCATTCTCCTGCAGCGCTAGCAACGGATGATCCGCTAACAGCAACAACATCAAGTATCGAAGAACCCCAGGGATTATTCAGGGCTGCCTTTCATCAGCGGAGCCATTTTCATGATTCATCAGGTACAATGTCACTGTAATATAGAAGAGAAGCTGAATCCTGCAGGGAGAAGGAAACTAATCCAGATTAAAATGCAGCAACCACCCTGGAATCAAAGCCTCAAGCCTTTAAACTTTAGGGTTTGTTGTCTTAGGAAAAGCAGTAAAACCTGAATGAGAATAGGATTGTCTGCATGTTGGAGGGGAACTTTAAGAAAAGATCATGACGAAGGAAAATGGCCACATTTTTTAGGATATGTCCCTCCAGTAAAAATTTTTGAATTTTAATCGGTTAGCAGTTTTGATTGTGTAACCATCTTTAAAAATGGTCATGGGTTGTCTTGTTTTGAATCATATATAAGTATTCATATATAAGTGTTCAACATTGAATGTGTTAAAGTTGTAATAAACCAGTAAAAACTTTGTTTATACCGAACAGTATATCTTAAAACTATTAACAAATCTAATGTTTTGTTAAATATGTTTTGTTAGAAAGAATTGTCACATCTCATTTTATTTTGAAATGGCTCGTGTTGGATAAAGGAAGTAGTGTAGAGCAGAAGGATTTTACTAGTTTGTCAATGGTACAGAGACAGGTAGACCCAATACTATACAGGGGCAGAATAGGGCCTCAAAAAATACTTTTTTTGGCAATTTTTTATTTTAAAAAAGCATGGGCACTGATAATTAATTCTAGCACGCAAATATTTCATATCACTTATTTGTTATAATAAAGATTCATAAATAAATTGTAGAATCAGATTGTAATTTTATGCATCATTAAATATCTACCAGAACCAAACTGAATTGAATTGGCCCACTTGTGAACTTAACTATATATCTCTAATCCACTACCAGAGATGGGAAGTACTCAAGTAGATTTGTACTCAAGTAGATTTTGTACTCAAGTAGATTTTTCTGATATTTTTACTTTACTACTTATTTTTATGGCGACTTTTTACTTCTACTCCTTACATTTTTACACAAATATCTGTACTTGCTACTCCTTACATTTTAAAAAATTGGCTCGTTACTTTAGTTTTGAATCATTTCAATGGAGTTACCGTTATTATTTTTCACGTCATCAATACCAAATTCAATCTAATTGGATGGGAATCTACGTTGCATTTGACGCACTAATACAAGATGAATTGACAGATTCGGC